GTAGTGGTGGTGTATGTGAATGTGTGGGAGAGAGAGAGAGAGAGAGAGAGAGAGAGAGAGAGAGAGAGAGAGAGAGAGAGAGAGAGAGTTAGCAGTCTAACTGTATCTAATGGCAGTGGGTTAAGCTGCTAACCATGAGTGAATACAGATATAATTCGCTGCTAACCATGAATAAATACAGATATAATTCACACACTAAGCAATTCATTCATTTAAAACATGTGATAGTTTTTTTTTAGTGTATACACAGTTATATAATCCTCACCACAATGAAACGAGGGGAATTTTCTTCATCCCCCAAATAAATCTTGTATTCTTAAGCTATCTTATTACCCCTAATTCCTCAGCCTAAGGAAACACTAACCTACTTTCTGTCTTTAGGGATTTGCCTATTCTTGACATCACAAGTAAATATAATCAGACATGTCACCTTTTGTGTCTGATGTTTTCATTTATCATAAAAGTTTTCAGATGTTTCATGTTATAGCTTTAGTACTTCATTTTATGGCTGAATGATATTCACATGTAATTATAATATGCCAATGCTATGACTAAATACCTAATTCATCAGTTGATTGAATCAACAATTTGAGTTCTTTCCACTTTTAAGCTTTTGTGACTAAGCTACTGTGCAATTTAGGACAAGATTTTCAGTGGATATGTGCTTTTATTTCTCTTGCTACACACTAAGGAATAGAACTGATGGATTATATAGTAACTGGGAGGAAAGATTTTTGAGAATCCTTATGTTGTGGTCTACTTTGTAGTGTGGAGGCCACTGATTAGGAATAACAGGGACCTTAAGAAGTGGCACTTGCCAGCACCTCCAACAAGAAATGTGGCCAAGTCATTTCCTCCAAGATAGGCCAATTCACTCCAGAGAGGCAGACAGAAAAGGAGCTCTAGGAGCCAGTAGCAGGTGAGGAGCAACTGCCCAGGTCTGTACGTGGAACAGCACCATGTGTTTCCCAAATGTGAGCGAGGAGTGTGAGTAGAAAGGAGTTTTCTGCGGGGCAGAGTCTATGTGGGTCCCGTGAGTGTAGCCCTCAGCAGAACTGGGCTGGGGGTGCTATTTTGAAGGACAGCAGCTTTCAAGCACAGGGCCTGTAGCCTGGGTGCAGACAGCAGTACCTCTGACATATGCCTGGAAGAGCCAGCGGAAGTGAGGGGCCGTGAGAACGAGGACAGAAGCTCTCAGCAGCAATCCCTATCCTACTCCTCTCCTAACCCCATGACTGCATTTGACAGTGTGTGAGTCCTGAAGTGTTTATATCGCTCCAGTTTTGGGCAGAGCCCTCAGAATGATCCAGGCAGGATTTTCCAGGAAAACAGTTGGGGATAGTACTTGTTGTGTAATAGAATTAGAAGATGTGGCATTTCTTACACTCTTAAATGTATGGACTGACATTTTCTTCAGCCATTGTTCCAGAGGGGCAGCCATGAGTAATGTATTTCAAGAGAAAAATAAATCAGCTCTGTTGGCGTCTAGAGGTCATGTAGGGAAAATAAAGAATTGAATATATAGAAGGACACCACAAGAGAATTTGGAATCCTTTCTGTAGTGGTAGACAGCTATGTAAGTCTGAGGAAGACCCGAACTAGCTCTTTTTCTTCTCTGTCAAGTGTAGGAAAATCACTAGAGCTATGCTCACAATGAGGGGACCCAGGACAGTGAGGTGACCATTTATTTTGGAATTAAAATGTTACAGTCTTATAAAGATATGAAAAAATTTCAAATTCATTAGCTGTCAGGGAAATTCAAATCAAAACCACAGTGAGGTACCATTCTCACACACTGGGATGACCATACTCAAAAGATGTTAAACTTTGTTGAGGAAGTGGAGAACTGGAACCCTCATGCATTGTTGGTGGGATGTAACGTGTTGCAGCTATTTAGGAAAACAGTTTGATGGTTCCTTCAAAAGTTAACCATAGACTCAACAGATGATTCATCAATTCTGATCTGGGATAACCACTTAAGAAAAATGAAAGCGAAAGCCCATACAACTTGTACATTGAGGCACTATTCATAATAGCTAAAAAATAGAAGTAATTCAAATGTTCATAGTCTGGTGAATGGATAAGGAAAATGCAGGGTACTCATAAAATGGAATATTATTCATGTGCCATGAAGAACTGGTTTATAACATGGATGATCCTTTAAAACATTATGTCTGGTAGAAGACCACACACTGTTTGATTCTGTGTGTATAAAATATGGAGCATAAGTAGATCTATAGAGATAGAAAGTGGATTAATGACTGCAAGGGATTGAAGTTAGGGAAGACCTGGGGCTGACTGCGTATGAGTTTTTGAAGTAATGAGAATGTTAAGGAATTAGTTGTGATGTTTGCAAAACCCCTAAAACACCAATGAATTGCACACCTTAGGAAATTTGAAACAGTTATAGCCAGCAGGATTTTCAGCTCCTGTGGTCAGAATATGTGCGAGATTAGCTGATTGTCATGGTTGGATTGAGGCTTAGAATGTTCTTGGCATCCTGGGCTGTCACTCCTGAAGCCAGGAAAGCCCAGGCAGAGTGACTGACATGGTCACACTGATTTCACTGGCTGCAGATTCACTGCTCAGAAAGAACAGTAGAGGCAGGCGGTATCACTTTCACTCTTCTCATCCATAATGCCATTTGTGCTTATTTTCTCCTTATGAAGTAACTGCTGGATAGGCTTTACTTAACTCCTGTTTATGGACAAGGAGGCCCTAAAATGATAAAAAATTTGCTTAAGAGTGTACAGAAAATAAAGGGTAGCCCTGGACATCAGTTGAACCCTCATTATTCCCAGGACAGGCCCTTTCCTGCACATGGTGGATAACGTGTACAGATTGGCAGTGCTGGTGAACATGTGCCCCACAAGCCCCATCGTTGCTGGTCACCTGGCTTCAGAATGCAAGGATACCTTCTTCAAGTCTCCTTCTCATACCCAGAGGTTGCATGCTATGGACCCTCTCCTAGGACAGATCTCTGGAGGTAGGAACCCTGTCTTAGTCATTTCTTCCCTTGCCTTTCATACCACTGGTGCTGTTAGGGTTTAGACCAAGAATGTCCTCCAAAGGTCACATGCGCTCACAGGCCACATGCACTCAAGGAGGCTCTATGCTCACCAGTGGAATCATGTACTGGTGAGCTCAGCAGCTGTGCTATTGGAAGGTGGGACCTGCCTGAAAGAGGCAGATCATTGGGGGAAGGTATATCTCCCTCCCTGGTTTCTCCTTTCTCCCTCTGCATCCTGGCTGCCATGACATTAGCAA